GGCATTGGTCGTTGCATTGGCATAGGCATTGGTCGTTGCATTGGCATAGGCATTGGTCTTTGAATTGGCATAGGCATTGGACGTTGCATTGGCACTTGCATCGGTCTTTGCATATTCATTGGTTGATAACCAAGTGGGGGTTGAAGAGGGTAACCAACGATGTGAATTGTTGGCAAAGGAGGACCAGTCATCTCGATATTCTTGCTTTTCTTACCCTTTCCTTTTTTCTTTCCTTTTCCTTTCTTTCCTTTTCCTTTTTCTTGTTTTCCTGCTTTTCCTTTCTTTGTGCCACCAAATTGTTGTGGGAAAGGATACTGCATAGGTCGTGGCTGAAGCAGTGCCAAGATAGCCGATTGTTGAATCGGATTATCCACTTTATTGAGAAGGTTAGGTAAATCAGCGGCTTGGACTACGATAGGCTGTTGCTGAGGCATAAAAGAGTTTTGCATTGAAGCTTGTGGATATTGTGAACCAAAAGGGTAAGGTCCAAACTGAGGCATACTTCCCATTGCTGTTCGATATGGATTCTGTCGCATATTTGTTCGCTTGGAAGAAGGTGGAAGTACTGAACGTGATTTCCCACGTTTTGTACAAGGCTTAGAAGGAGTTGGAATACAACGTGGAGTCATTGGGAAAGGGAACTGCAGTTGTGGTGGATATACAATGTTATAAATTGCAGGTAAGGGAGCACCAAGTAGGTGTAATGGTTTTTTAGCTTTTTGTACCTTTCCTTTGTCAAAGGAACGTGTCATCTGATGTCTAGGAAACGAGAAGGGAAATTGGGGCATATATGGTGAGCGCAGTGGACCATACGGTGTAAATGGACCCATAAGACGCGAAATCTGATTGGCCGCTAGATCTTGATAATTCATTGGTCTATTAGGAGRATACATAGATGYAGGTCGAGGTGCATAGCCTACTTGAGGAGAAAATGGGAACATGGCTCGCCTAGGGAATGATTTCTTCTTTGAAGCTTTTTTATGTTTTGCTTGTCTTTGCATTAGTTGCTTTTGTCGCCACATTTGAAGTCCTTGAAGATAAGGATTGCTTTGCACAAAGGGACTCATTTGCATTTGAGGCATTGGAGGGCAAGGCATGCTTGCACTTGGTGCGCAGGGCTGTCCCATTGCTCGTTGCATCATTGGATTTGGCACAGGGTATGTCCCCATTGGTCTTTGCATCATAGGCTTTTGCAATGGGTAGAGCCCCACTGGTCTTTTCATCATGGGATTTGGTACAGGGTATGGCCCCATTGGTCTTTGCATCATAGAATTTGGCATTCCGTATGGCCTCATTGGTCTTTGCATCATAGGCTTTTGCAATGGGTATGGCCTCATTGGTCTTTGCATCATAGGCTTTTGCAATGGGTATAGCCCCATTGGTCTTTGCATCATAGGATTTGGCATTCCGTATGGCCCCATTGGTCTTTGCATCATGGGATTTTGCATTGGGTATGGCCCCATTGGTCTTTGCATCATGGGATTTGGCACAGGGTATGGCCTCATTGGTCTTTGCATCATAGGATTTGGCATTCCGTATGGCCCCATTGGTCTTTGCATCATGGGATTTTGCATTGGGTATGGCCCTATTGGTCTTTGCATCATGGGATTTGGCACAGGGTATGGCCCCATTGGTCTTTGCATCATATGCTTTTGCAATGGGTATGGTCCCATTGGTCTTTGCATCATAGGATTTGGCATTCCGTATGGTCTTTGCCTTGGGTGACATGGTACGCCAGCCCTAGGTACACATCCTTTACCACTGGATATTTTTTGCATGACATTCTGATTAGGGAAAAACGGTCTCTGCAATGGCATCTGCTTTTGCATCTGTCCCTAATTATATAAAAATAATAAAAAAATAAAAAAATAAAAATTT